CAAAGTTAAGTGACAGATTAACCCTACATCTGGCAAGAGGCTCAATGAGCCGAATTTGGCAAGTGTAGTGTGAGATGGCAGAGGCTCATTGAGCCGAATTTGTCATTGGCACACTCAAACACATATTTCGTTGTGTTATGATGGAATAAATTACTAACAACCTATACTGTTGTGAAGATGAGATTACGGGCTTTATTTTTCATATATAAAACATCTACGGGCGTTTCTATATACGCGTGTGGGAAATTTTGAAAACAGGTGATTTTTTATAGTGCTGTGACAGTGCAGTACAAAACTCTTTAGGCGACTTATTAATAAAGTTTTTATATAATTTAGGCCTATTTCTTTTTTCTTTGTACAGTTTATAGCCTATAACCATGCTTGTAAATATACTTTCTTCATTATAAGTTTATTTCTAATTTAGGCCAAGGCTATTTCATTTTTTGGTTGGCAGCCAATTTTTTGCGTAGGCTTAGCCGATTTTAATTTTCTATGCCAAATACAATGTAGGCTTACTTTGTAAATATTTGTAATAATCATATTTAGTCATAAAATATATATTTCAATGTTTTTCAACCCAGTTTATGACTTGTTTTTTTCACCTTATCACTTTGTAATGACTTGTCACTTTTTTCAAAAATGAATTTTTCGGTTGCGACTTTCTACAAAACACTCTATAGGAGACTTATTACTTAGGTTTAGCAAAAAACCCTATATATATTCTAAAAGTACATAAAATTAGTAACAAAATTTATATCTCAGAATTTCATACATGAGGTATTGAAGATTTTATAATCATTTCATTCATGCGAATATGTTATACATTTTTCATAAAAAATGTAGAAGTTGTTTATATTTTGAGTTTTTTAATTTTTTCAGTTGCAATAATCAGTAAAATACAAATATTTATTGAAAGCCCTATGGTTTTTGAGTATAAACATGCAACTTTTATTGACTCTTGGAATTTATTACTATTTTTGACATCACTCAAAATTTTATTTGCGTTTTTTTTGTGAAAACACATTTTGAAAGATTTATTGACTTTTTACTAATTCTTTTACAATTATTCCAAAAGTCTTTATATTACTATGTAGAGTACTAAACTGCCAAACTTTTTCCAATATATCTTTATAAGAAAAAAAAATTGTAAAACTTCTTATAATAATCAATAAAATTTCAAATTTTATTTTTCAAAGTAAAAAAAAAAAACTTATCTCTTTGTTACTATGACAACTATGAGTAAAAAAATAAATAACTTTCACTAAATTGTTCATTGTTTTGTGCTGAATCAGAATATATATAATTTATTGTGTTTTCCATTCAATATAACAGAGTTATTAACAGTTTAATGAGGCCACTACCAAAGTTGACCAAAACCTCTGCCATCTCACAGGTGCACGGCTAGCAGACGACGCCGCCAGATCTAGGGTTAATTAAAAGTGTAAATGTTATTTCGACAATTACTAAACGCCAACATTGTTTAACAATTTTCTAGCGTTAGACTCATGAAATTACAATAAAGATCGTTCAGCAACATTAATATAATAACAGCTCTATTTCCATGTGTTAAGTTTACGAGTGTCATAAACATTTTAGAGCATATAAAACAAGATCAATAAAATGCAGAAGGCAGTGATGGTGTTGAGCGCGCTATCTATCAGAGAAGTTTAGAGTTACAGCGACGTAGTTCCGTGTTTAGCCGTGGAAGCGCTCTTGTAGCAATTAGTGCAAGCAGTCAACGTCAGATGGCAGGGCGATCGAGGCAAGGCTCTAGCGCTCGTGGCGGCAAACTGCCAAACGAGCAAGGAATATCAGGCTATTGACAATCAAATGGACTAAGATTATTGACGAATAAAAACATTATAGCCTTTGAAGTAAACTGTAATAACCATCTTATTCCACATTACTTAAAGTTACAATATTACCTTAGTTCAAACTGATGAAAGTTTTAACATAAATGAATTCATCAACACCTTGAATTTACTTTCGGAAAAGATTTTAAAATTTCGCTTTTATATTCTGTGTATTTTATCTCAAACTTGAATGATCGTATAATTTGAATAATTAAAAATTATTATTAACACTGATAATTAATTCATTATTGTAAAATCTTGTTATATGAACCAAGCTCGATAACATTTAGATACTAAATTTTAATTCATGCTATATTCTTATGAAGTTTTAATAATATTTTTAAACATAACTATTAGTGTAAAATAAGCTTTTTAGACATGATGTATACATTACATGTGAAATGTAAAGAATTAATTACTTATTGTTTCCCCCTCATTCAAATGTACCATAAACGCAAAAATAAAGTTTGAGAGGTATAACTTTTCTTAGGGTGTTCAATTATTATCATCATATATAGAACCTTATCCATGTCGACATGAAAACTGTGTTATTGTTAATTAAATGTATTATATTGAATGGGTAAAAATTAATATTACGTCTTTCGCAATCTCAAAACCTATCTACAACAACATTTCATACGTACAAGTACATACTGTAACATTAAATAATTAACACGTCATCTTTTTGATAGTTTAATGTAGAGATTTATTTTAAATTATCCGTCTAAAATACTTTGAAATATGATGGTTATGATAGTAAATATATCATGGGGGTAATATTTCAAAGCACAAGATTCTTGATTTCACACTTTCCAAATGAGAATTTCAGCATAACAAATGTCACGTAAGCCAATTCAAAAGAGTTCAAATAAAATAAAATATCGTGCTAATGGGCTATTTATTATTTTGATATTTTTCATTATAGTAACCCTTAGAGTCCATAAGAAGAAAATAGTAAATTTATGTGATAAGAAAATGTTTAATCTTTGTCTCATTCTATTTCGTTAGCAATGGACTCATATCGAGTTAAGGGAATGACACTTTTAAATAGGACAAACTACTTACTTTTTTTACTATTGTTTTGAAACCAACTCTAGTAACAGAAAAATTAACCATAATTTAAAAATATTGACAATTAATATACTATGATAAACTTTTTGTACGTTTTAAAATATAGTATTACCTTTCACCACTTGTTATATACATTTATCCAAAGTAATTAGTTTTACAAAACTATCTTCCGTTAAATTTAGATGTGGGGTTAATATGTATCCTATCCCATTGCGAATGACAGAGTATGGATGTATTTACTATTACGTGAAAATAACTGAACCGATTGAGCTAAATTTTGGATGAAAAGAGCTTACATACTAGATGTGAACATGGGCCTTTTTTATTTTGAAACTCCCCTACGGATCTGGCCCCTGGCTCCCTAATGTTGTAGGCTAATGTTATTTTTTTAATACATGTCGATAAACTGAAATAAGTGACATATTTTATTTGTATTGAGAGATTGTGAAAGCTATAACAACATTGTTTAAGCGGGCCTACTTACTTAGAGATAAGTGCATAGTGGAAATTATCATCATCTTTGTACCCCGATGAGATTGTTAGCGTTCACCCGACAGTGATCCATACATTTCAAATTCCCTGTTTAGAATGTTTTCGCCTAATTTATATTTCTGTTTCTTATTTTTAAACCACGTATACTTTGATGCATGAAAAATCAAAGCATCAGACCCTATGGACCTAAGCCCTTTTTATGTAACTTACTAATTCTTGTGTAATATATTTAATAAATACAGTATGCAAATATAATTCTTCAGCCCCACAATCGAGTTTTTTGTTAGCAAAACCCTAATGCTTCAAAAAGGCTTAAAATTAATGTAAATAATACAGTGGCTTGTGGTCAGCTGACATTTCTTGTCAATTTTGATCACCGATTTAACATCTGCTTAACTGTGTGTAGAAACTGCAGAGGTTTTCAAGTTGTATGAAAAGTAGACCGGTCTTATTGAAACGACAAGTCTTTGAAAACCATTGGGATAAATTATTTTAACTTTCTTTGTAATCGCTTATCGTCCTCCGGTAACTATTGGAAGACCATCGACTGTATCTGAGTGACCACGGGAGTTATCTTATTAGTAAGGAATCATCGCCAAATGTTGAATATTTTGAAAAAAAAAAACTTTAAATGTTACACTTTTACCTACGATTTTTTAAGTAGCCGTTTCAGTTCAGCTCTTAGAATCGGTTACGAGAGGTTATACAACCTCTCTTAGAAGTTATGAGTGGTAATTTTTAGTAATTAAAACACTGTCGTATGCATCGTATGTAAGTAAAGTAGTGTACGTAGCTCGCGTAGTGTTAACGACACTCGTAGAAGTTTTAAAGGCACTTGCCAAGGCTCGTACCCTAATTTTTCTACTCGTGTCATTTACACTACCTTTACGCAATCGTTGCATAAACTACTATTGTCAATCTAATGACACTAAATAACAACAATGTCCAATCACAAAATATCAGTTGTTATAGAACAGAAAGATGCTAGATGCTACCAACATTATAACTCCTAACTCAATGACCGGGTAGTAGTATTATATGCATGTGTAAGTCCTGTTATTGAAGAGTAAAATAGCGTATTATATTAAAATTAGGCAAGGCAGCGTACGGAAACGGCGGTCGGCGCGGCGGTCGCAGTTGGCGGGCTTTACGCGGTATTGTCGCGCTGGCCCGGGGCCTAACGACCTGGCCGTATCCCGACGCTATTTCCGAACGCTTCCTCTCAAACATAAACATGGACTCCCCTATCTGTCGTCGATATCCTACTGCAGATGGGAATAGAAATGGAAAACTGTTTGTTGTTGTATTGGAAATGTAAACGGCATAACTTGGATACATTCTAACTAGAAAAGCAAAATGTTAAAGGTAAAAGCTCTGTCCTCACATTTAATATGAGACAAAATCTGATATTTAGATTTTGTAAATAAGTGTTGTCTGTAGGTACAAATTCGCTGCTTGAAGTTGAAGATTTAAAAATATTTGCTTTACACCAACATAATGTTGTTGCGGTGTTGTATACTGATGCCATAGATGCTTCAGTTGTGGTTGGATGATTTTATAATAAAATGTTGTAATTTGTTTCAGGGTTCGCGAGTGAGTGTTTTGGTGAAATTCAGTGGTGTTATAGTGGTGAGTAGCTTTTACTTCGTTTCAAAATAATTTGTTTTAAAGAGTTCGGTGAATGAAAAAAAACTTACTCTTATGTTTTAATGTTATTCTCATATTTTTTAATGAATCTTCAAAAATACACGTGAAAATGAGTTTCAAACTTTTGTAGGAGATCACTTAATTATTTTGTCATACCATTTCATATACTTCTAATTTAATAATTAAGTTATGACATGAACAAGAATAAGTGATTCCCAAATGAAATCAAATCAACTTTATTTTACCAATCACGGCTAACTTTGATGATAAAACTCTTCCACCCAGGAAGGTTAATTATTAGCTTTATTCACTTTGTTGTTTAGTCATTGGCTCAACGGGAATTTTTAATTTTATGGAGTTTCACCTCGCTCGATTTGTCTAAAAGTGTAAAACTACTGTGTGTGCATGCAATGATATGTTTCATTTCACAGACTGTTGAACATGTTTGGCAGTACAGTAGGTAATAACTTTAATAGAATATTGTCTTTGTATTGTTTAATCTCTTTAAATATAACTTTTTATAGAAAAGAAAACATTTGTAGACAAATTTTGCAGTAAATCATAAGACTAATAGTCTAAAGAAAAAGCATTCAAAAAAATGAAATGTTCCGGGTTCCCAGTTAAAAATATTTCGCTTGACTTGATAACCATCTTGTAAGCCATGTTAAACATTTTTTATAAAAATAAGTAAAAAATGCAGAAATGAAATTTTAGCCTGCATTTAGCGCTTTCTTTAGTTCACTTGCGTCATGACTAAAATTCGTAATATAAACATCATAAACGACCTTAGTTTAGTCACTAAACGTGTTTGGTAAGTATTGCATTTCTTCAAAATCTTTCAAACTATTTTGGGTGGTATATAGTACACTTTTGTTGGCTAAAAATTGCTTATAAGTGAAATGGTTAACATTGGATACCTAAGTAGTTTTCTCATCTAAATGGACTATTTGCAGCTAGTAAAAACTCCAAGACTCTCAGTCCTTCCTTTAAAGGTCACATTTTCTATTTTAGTTTTGTCATTCTGAGATGGTAATTGCAGCTGGATTGAATTCATTTTGGTAACTTTATGATTTTGTAAAATACAAAGCTGGATCTAATACATGGTTTTGCGTTTAACAAAAAACTATTCTGCTATTTAGAATTAAGGAAGAAAATGCTCTACAACTATAGATCATGGCAGATAGTATTATGGCGATATTTATTTAGCACTAAATTCCATCAGAACATTACGGCGCGATACCAAATCTCCGTAAAAATGTATTTTGAATTCCCATAAACAACAAAAATCTGATTACCGATAATATGTTCATTATGTCTTGTTTTCAATATCATATTAGTCTAACATGTAATTATTAAAGGTAAAATATTCAATAAAATCATCCGCTTGTCAATATCTTAGAGGCCTCCTTCTTATGAAAATCCAGACTATTTTTGAATGTACCAAACAAACAACCTGCATTATATTTGTAACGCAGTTGAATTTGGCAAAACAATTTCCAGTGTGGAAGGACGTTACCAAACCGATGTTAACAAGCTGGTGAGCACCACTTAGCCGCGGACCGCCTCTAAATTAGAATAAGTACCGGGAAAATGACGATTTATGGTAATTTGGAAATAGCGAACCATGCATTAGGCTAGGTGCCACCGAGCCGGGCCAAGACGGGAATTATGAGCACTCCCCCGACCCCAACAAGCCACCGTTCGATGACAATGCCCTACTTTTGCGATCAAATTGTTTTTGGCAATAATGCCCCAGGGTAAACTATTGCTTGGTCGTCAGCTCATTAAATACTGCCTTTGATTTGTTTTGTTATGGTCATTTGTGAATCTGTCCTCTATTTGCAATACCGTTTAGCTAATAGGAAGGGGTTAGTAGTGGTCAGGTTGTATAGAGATGTTTATTTGATAAACGTGGATATTTACGTGTATTTATCTCATTCATCGATGTGAAACCTTTTGAAATTGTATAATATTTTTATCACAAATGTCTGCATATTATGTCTGTTATTTATTTACTGATTTCCTAAAGGGATACTTCAGTTTATAGAAGAGAATACAATATAGGCAACCAAGATGGTTACATAGAAAAACAGTACGTAGAAACAACAAGAACGTAAATCGTATTACTAACCGTGGAGTGTGTCATTAATATCATAGCATGTGCTTCGGTGTTTATTTTAAGTATTACATACGGGAACTTCCTACTCAAGTATTCGGTATTACGTAACTAACGATGATTTCATTCCTCTCTGAAAAATAGTAATGCACTGATATTTATCTCTGCGTTGCCGAAATATTCAAATATAGTACAGAATCAAAACTAACGAGAGGTTTACCCTTTTAAGTTAATTTTTGGCGATGGTGACTTAATGTTACATCATAGGTATTGTAGACATTTTCCATCATAGTTGGTGTAGAACTAAGTTTTCACGAATTTTCGGCGTCTAGGATCTGACTCTGTCCTCAGCTGAGAAAAGTACCTAAAATATAACAAGATAAGCACGCAAACCTAGACTTTTCCTCCTTTTGTTGTACTACCTTGTTCAGGATTCGTATTGACTATTGTACTATACCCTGTATGGTTTTTTGTACATTCTTTCAGCTCTCTCTGGGGCTGTGTACTAATCTTATTAGATTTTTTAAGTACCTTCTCATAGTATAATGGAATCAGATTATAGAAAAAAATGTTCTCAATGGTTCCTTTTAAACAACATAAAGTTTTTCAAATTTAAAATTTGATAATGGTAATAATGAATTCCCGAAGAAAAAGTATTACTTTTACTTACATTGTTATAGTAATACACCGAGCATTTTATTCTGATAGTAGGAATAAACCAAGCTAACTAATATAGATTACAGCAAACGACTATAAACATAAAGAATATGTTATGGGCATTTTATACCAAAACTTCTTGATGACGTAAACGTATACACTAGGGTGTCTCCATTTGTAAATATATTAACAATTTCAATATAAACTACAAATAAAAACACTGTGTGATGCAGAAAATTATCGATGTGCAACAAATCAACTGAAACAGTTTTAAAACACAACAAACTATGCTAAGGCAGAGATGATATGTTAACATTTTGCAATACAATGTAAACATTGACACAAAGTCCTAGTCGAAAATCAATTACATATTGAGGCCATTTGGTATAATAGAACAGTCGGAGCAGTCTAGACCGATGCAATGAAACAAACCCACATAGAGGAGGAATAGAAGAGCCAGTGAATTACAGTTATAAGTTTTCAATGGTTGCCAAGTTTAGAGCCATGGCAATATAAGCTAATGTTTCTGGGAGGATTGCAATCGTAGCACTATCTAGCGAAGCAACTTGCCTCTGAAGTTACAAGCCATCATCAGCTCGCCTTACTTCATTGTGTTGATATTGCTTGAGTTATGCCGCAGTCAATCGTAACCTCCTCTCGTTCCATCGTGTTGATGCTAGTTAATGAAGATGTTTACTTACTGTACAATCAGTTGTTAACTCTTGTCATTTTATCTTGTTGTAATTAAATGTTACACTCACTCTTGTTTCAGCATTTTTTTCTGTCTTGTTGGTACTAGTTGATTAATCATTAACGCATAATCATTATGAACTTCTTCCTTTAGTTTTGATACTGAAGCTCTTTCTTTCCCGACTATTTCATGGTCCGATGTAGATGTTTAGTGTAGCACAGTCTGCTGTACTCAAACATAGTTTAGTCAATTGTTATATGTCACACTATTCCTAATGTTTCGCTTCAGTTACCATTTTTACCATTGTTGATTAGGCTCTGTCTAGCCACAATCCATCGCTAAGTATTTGCCATCATGTCTTGTGGATGTTTGGTTTGGAGCTCTGTAACTATATCGCTTTGTGAGTGCTTTCACTCCGTGTTGATCCCTTTTTTGTGAATTTCCTTGCTAAATACATAGTAAAAATCCTTTAACGTCCTTTAAGTCCTTTGCCTTTAACGTAAAAATCGTCAAGGTGAAACACAACTTACTATACTAGACGTCTTCATATTTCACTAGCATAGCTCGATTGATTGCGTCAGAGTTTTGTTGGCTAGATAAAAGGTCGCAAAAGTTTTCTTTGGAGTACTCCTTAGAAGAATGATAGGATCTATTTTAATTGAGCCAGGACTTAGTTTTGGTTTTGAAACCGCCATACAAGAATTTTACTCCAGCTGGCAGCCTGAACATCTTGAGGCCCAGGTTGGGCAAACAGTACTTTTATTGTTAAATCTACAGTATGGAATGTTTAATGTGATGTCGTGTCAAATCTTCAGGCCGCGAATCTCCCAGTCGCCTAAGAATTTGCCCATGGTCCAGATGGTCAGCTGAAGAGAATATCCTAACGGCCGTTTCCTGGATAATCATAACGTCATCACAGCTTATTAATATATAGCTATAAATTGTAGAAATTTATTAGTGTAGATTATGAGTACTCGCAAAATGTAGTTATACCACGCCACATCTATATTTTGTCGGGATAGGTAAATATATTAAAGTATGAAATCGTAGAGCACTCAGTATAAATCGAAATTTACTATTATTCCTGCATTCTTCATTATAAAACCAGTTATTAGTATAAATTATGTAACATGTTTTTAAATTATGAATTAATATAATCCTTATTTAATTTGCCTATTATTTTCAATATAAAATATGTAAATCAGTTTTACTCGTGACTGCACTTAGATATTTGAAGAAGTAAAATGTTTTGTATAGTGTTTATTAGTATTATATAAATTTATAAATTATGCGTATTGTTACAGGTGAAATTGTGGATGATTATTTCATTTGTCGTTGGATATTAGTATATTTGTTTTACAAGGGCAACTTGTGTAACAAAGGATAACATTTTTGGAAATTGACTGAAGCCATAAGGCAAGACTCGATAATCAATTCACTCGTTAAAGTGTGCCCTAGTTTAAAACAACGACGCAATCATAAAATTGCCTGGCAAAAAGCCAATCGATTATTGGAGAA